TTCAAATGGAATGAGGAAGTTTAAATGTTATAAAAACACAAAGAGGCACCAAAATTTATTTCAAAAGAGTCCCAAAAGCTTCACAAAGTATTCGAAAAACTCCGAAAATTCCAAAAAACACGAAAGTTTTTTAAAAAAACTTTTGTATACTCGATATCGGTGAGTTGGGGTGGGCGTGTCACCGGAAGTGACGTGCACTTGATAGAAACTATGTGGATAAGCTGCTTCCAACATACATCGCTGGCTATCAGCAAAGCATGCTGGCAACAGCTTATCCACGCACTTCTATCAAGTGCACGTCACTTCCGGTGACACGCCCACCCAACTTACCGATATCGAGTATATTAAATTCAGTGTTCAACACCTTCTTCGGGGCATGTGCATGCCTCAACCAAGGATTAGCGCTGCCCTTACGGGAGCCGCGCCGTTGGAGTGGAATAATTTTTAATAATAATTTAAATTATTAATTTAATTAACAATTCCACTCCAACGGCGCGGCTCCCGTAAGGGCAGCTAAATCCTTGGCTGAGGCATACACATGCCTGAAGAAGGTGTTAAACACCGAAATATAGCAGAAGATTTCAAAGGAGTTCTTTTTGAAACTTTTCGTGTTTTTTGGAATTTTGGAGTTTTTTGAATATTTTGCGAACTTTTGGGACTCTTTTGAAATATAAATTTTGGTGCCTCTTTGTGTTTTATATACACAATGCAGAAGTTGATACTCGTCAGCTTGAAAAAGGGCCTTCTTTCCTTTCCCTACACTTCGTACTTGCGCAGAAAGGTTTACAGAACATTTCGAATGGCGATTTTTCATACACTACTTATTGCAACTAATGGTTGACCTAGATATGAGGGAAATCTGACAAACATTCTTTGTACTTTGGGACCATGTCACTGACAGCTGTCTGGCAGGGCTACTCATTGACCACGGCCTTCGCAGAAAAAAGATATGATTGTTGATTTCAGAAGCTTTGCGAGGGGATCCTTCGGACCAGCCTTAAAACAAAATTCTACTTTCAAGGTAGCGGTCAACTCAGCCTACTGATACAGTATTTGGCCGTGTTTGTTGTCAGAATCCATAATCTCCGCGTTCAAGTAATGCGATTAGAGAATGAGTAATCTGTTTTTGCTTTTCATACTTATCGGTATTTTCCTGCTGATCATACGACTTCGCTGGTCGAGCTTCAGTGCGGTGGTGATTGTTTTTTTTTTTCAAGAAAAAAAAGCTCAATTTCTATAATACAGTGTTTTTTGCATCCATCAGCATCTCCCACTAGTGGCAGCATTAAACAAAAGAATTTCTTCAAAGAACCAGAGCTGAAGCCTCTCTTCGCTCGTGCAAATCCCATAGCAACCATTGTGAATATTCAGAATGATTACGGACGGGCCCTCGCAGTTCAAATTCCCACACAAACGGTTAAAGATGTGATGAAAGCATTGCTACTGTTATTAATTTGAAATCAAAATTTCAGAGAAACTCTCACATCACACGAATGTCCATATAGAAAGAAACAACGCGCCAAGGACTAAAAATTGAAAAGGGGTGAAGCACTGCAGACACGGCTACAATTGATACGACAACAATTATATGAAATGCATGCAATTGATATCTAACTTTCCTACTAAATAGTTCGAAATCTGAGAAGGAATTTGTATGTCAAATTGATGAGATAATAAGAAAAAGAAATTTAAAACGATGAAACATCTGCCGACAATTGGCCGGTACTATGTGTACGCGCATTTTAATCGTGCAGCCCCTGCAGTCTCGTGAATTTTCTGACTCCGCCCCTTCACACAGGCTGGAGCTCACTTTCAACGGGTGGCTTTCGTCTGTCACGTTCACAGTTGGGTTCCAGCGGTTGGACGTGAAGGCTCCTTCAAATAGCCTGTTAATTAATGCATTCAATTCCTCGGAATTATCAATCCCGCTGGCTATCCACCGAGCCTGTTTCAGGGTAGCTGGCGATATTTCAAAAGCGCTTTTCCATCGCTAGAGTTCTGAAGATGTTTCGAGCTCATTTCATTGAAAGTTTAGCTGCAGTTTTTACATGTTTCAGGCAGCATGCTAAATCTCCAAAAGAGAATCAATGGAATTGATGACAACAAGAAGTATATGGAGACGCGAATCGCCATTCGGGAAAAGTTACTCGCTCAAGGTAACATTTCAAGGAAATAGTAAAGTTATCTGGTTATAGCAGTAGATCTCAGCCTGACTCTAAAGCATATTCTGGTGTATCAGCTGAGCTAGTTCGTATAGGCCACGGTTGTACTTATATTAGCCTCTGATGTGCATCAGTTCAGAGCTGCTTAATACTGTTCGCCTCCTTTGCGTGTACACCCTCTCGATTGCTGGTTATTTAGTTGCACAGCGAGGAAGGGCCGTGTTGCCATTCTTCCGTTCTTCTCTCGGATAGGAAAAGGGTATAAAAGTCGCGTTGAGCTCTTTTTCCCAGTCTTGACTGGCTTAGGAAAGAGCGGAATTGTAAGGCTGGTGTCAGAATCCGCGATCCGTCGCGTTTCACTGATTTTCGTGATTCACGCAGTCATGCCGAATTTGCCAGAGAACCTGCCGGCAGAATCGCAAAATCGCCAAAAAACAAATTAGAGGGATGGGATCGGGCACTTGTGGATTTGCCGTGAACCCGTCCGCGATCGCCCTCCATCGGCTTGGGCGTCGCCGAGTGTGCGCGGTCTGAATATGAAACAAGTGGAATCATGAGCAGTTGTCATTCAGCCATCACTATCAAGCAGAATTGGCGGCAGGATTGGAGAACACCTTGTAGTATTGATCGGGCACTTGTGATTTCCGTGACCCGTCGCGTGAATCGCGTTGAATCGCGCAAATCGCGAAAATCAGCGAAACCTGCGACGGATCGCGGACCGTACACCAGTTTTTTAGGGGGGCGTGGTTGAAAGAGGTGCTAACTTAGTTGGGGGGGGGGCCACGCGGCGGCGCGGCAGTCTGCTCACCTGGGCTCTCTCGAGCGAGACAGTGTAAACTCGAACATTCCAGCTTTTCACGCATGTCAAGTGACTGCCCCCACCCCCCACCCCCCTAGACTGCCTACACTCCCCCTGGCCCACGGATTTCCGAACATGCCAGGCGAGCAGACTGCCGCGCCGCCGCGTGGCCCCCCCCAACTAAGTTAGCACCTAAAAGCAAAAACTGATGTTGACACGCAGTAGAAACGGACCGGTGGTTTTTTGGTCTTGAAGGTGGTCGCTATGATAATCTAAGTAATGTCTCAGGATCTATAACTTTTAAATATTCTATATGCAAAATTAGGGTAACGAAAACTTTCACGAGCAGTTGCAGCAAATTCTTACAAGTTAGCAGCGTTCAAAAATTGTTTCTTAAAACACAAATCGATGTTTTTCATTCAATCTCTTGCAGAGGGAATGGGAGTATACGGCCCTGAGCTTCCAAGTCGGTCTAAGAGTACCCTCGAGTTAGGACCACCTTACACTGCGAAAAGTCGAGTTCTTTCTGCACTGTGGGGTGGTTATTGGGGAGGTTGCTCCTGGGGCCTAATTATTGTGAGTACCTCGCTACTTGCACTTTTGAAAAAGGTGAATAAGTTTGTTCTTCTCTCACGGGACTGTCTAGCTTACGCTGTAGCTGCGTTGTGAGTGAATGTTAGGGCGCTTCCATAGTTGGTCGTGCGATTGTAATGATCGCACAGCATCAGGTAGGTATCGATCGTCAGGCGTGACGAATGATCGGGTGATCGATACGTACAAAATATTGGCGATTGGTACGATCGCTACGATCGGACGAGTGACTATGAAAGCTGAAAGAAAGTTATTGTCGCCGCAGTTGGCAAGTGAGCGCGTTTCTGTGTAGAAGTTCGTCCGACGAACTTGAGTATTGATCCTGTTCGTATCGCTGCTAGTCGTGCACCTGGTTAAATCGGTGTAGAGAAGGCAGCTGCAAAAGAAGGTTTTGCCCTAAGAACCTAATCATGAATAAAAAAAAGTAGAGGAGAACTATGCCTTGATATAGAAACGGTAAAAACGTTTTATGTTTTGTGATAATCTATAACTGTCTGGGACTATTATTGAGTACTCTTCTCCCTGATCCCTACCCGTTCGCTCTACTCTTGCGTTTAACGTAGATTTACCTTTAACCCAGACTTCTTCCATATACCGAAATTTCTTAAATTGAAAGCAATACTCAACTGCCCAACGGCATTTTTTTTTTCAAAGTTTATAGTGTTTTCACTAGCTTGGTCAAGATTTTCGATAGTAATCTGCAAATGCTGTGATGATTTCGAGTTTTCAGAAATAAAAGACTTGGAAGTGAATCTGAAGAACCAAAATATGTGCAAGCTCTCGTTCCCTTCAACTTCTCAACTTCATGAAATGGTAAATACTTTCAGTGAATTTGTTGTTTAATTTCTTTTCATAAGTCGAGTTTCGACTGTGTGTGAATATTACTAATACCTTATACTGTCGTAGAATAGATTTCGTAGAAAAATCTTTTTGCAGATCCTCACGGTGTGTCCACAAGAAGGTATTTACAGAGGAGGCGTTTTCAAATTTTCAATCTCGGTACCTCCTGAGTACAACAATGTGGTGAGTGTACTTATCTTCCTATAGCTAAAAGAAGAATATATTGCCCTTATACGAGCTAGTTTGCTCAGCACTTAATGCTTTCAGCCTCCAACTGTAAAATGTTTGACGCGGGTTTTCCATCCGAATATAAACGAAGATGGCAGCATTTGTTTATCGATACTCCGAGAAAATTCTCTGGATGCTTTTGGATGGCGACCGACGAGGAATCTTACTGAGGTTTATTTAAGCGTACATTGCTTTTTTTCACTGATTCGTATATTTTCTTCAGTTTTCAAGCCCTCACTGCTCAGTATGAATTAGGCTAAAAGTATCAGAGATCCTTAATCAGAACCTTATTATGGTAGTAAATGTCTAGAAAAATGACATTTGTCCGGTGCGCAAGAGTCATCAAGATGCAATAGCGGATTATCGTATATTCCAATAGCTATGATTCCATTTCCCAATTCGAGGGTATAGACGTTGGTGCCCTCAATCAGAAAGTAGTTTCAGATTAAAATGAAGACTTTTTCGAGCTAGGTAAGCACTTACATTGTTGAAAATCCGATGAATATATTCTTGGTAATATTGGTACCGATGAAATTAAACTATAGGACTTCTAAAATTTTTGTAACTCGCCTAAATCCTGTTCAACCCATGCAATACTCTCATCTCCGAAAAAATTCATTTTCAATCAACTGTGCGTCTATTTTTTTGCCACGAATGAAAACTATTCGATTTGAAAGACATTTCATTATCTGTACTCGGATGTACCTTTGGATTGCCTGCTGAAGGAAGGGGGGTCCTCCCACCTCAGCAGGGAAGCTGCTTCGAACCACTGCTGTTTATAGGCCCCCTCACCAATCGTAGGAACAAACTTCAAAATAACTAACTCTCCAATCTCTCAAATCATGAAATCATGAAAAACAGCGTCGTGGGCCAGAGTAGAGATGCAGCGTTCCGGGGACCAATTCCCGAGTCGGGGCTTACTGCGCCCAGCCCCAAATGACGGTTTTACGGTTTGTGTTGTGCAAAAAATATGACGATATCTGCTGCGAGATGATATTGTTTTATCAACTAGGTGATAATTTGTTATTTTTGAACAGCACTACTGTTGTAGTTAATAAACCTGATGAGAAAACGACAATAAGCCGCAGGGCAAGGGGTATGCGGATCGTGTTCGTGAGAGTGACCGAATTGGCGGTTCTGAGAATGGCCGCTTGCTCCAACTACAGGTGTCTTTTTTAGGTTCGAACTCGACCGAGCCACTAAGCTGCGAGCCGTTTAGTTGCTACCATCTGGGAAATTAAGCACTGACTTAGACACTGGTTCATCAAGCTAGTAATTTTGTGGCGATCACGACAGATTGATGCTGTTTGGCCTGTAAAACTTCTTACTTAGAAGAATGTAAAAATAGATTTGGGAAATGTAATGCTAAATCGTTCAGGTGATTCATGGCCTATCATCGTTGTTCACGGATCTCATCGACTTTGACGACGCGCTGAACATGCAAGCTGCACAACTCTGGTCAACCAATCGTGAACAATTCACGCACCGTGCACGTGACTACATTGCAAAATACTGCGAGCGCCGCTGAGTGTGATGAACTTTTGTCATTACTTCATCCCCGAATTTTGAATGAGATGTACCAATTTTGCATTATTAACCATTTCTAATCTTAGAATAATGAATTCATCAATAAACTTGTCCTTCATTAAATATTGAAATTTATTGGAAACAACGCGTAAAAACGTAGAGTCGAGTGTAACAGCATGAACACGACAATACTCTCACATTAAGTTAATTATACAACGAATAAATTCATAAGGACATCATGAGACGATGTCTCGTAGTTTAAATAGGTTTGATCTTGAAATGAAGTCCAATCAAAGAAAACACAAGACATTTGAGATCCTGAACCAGATAGTAAAACGAACGAAGACCATCAGGATCCTGAAAATGAAATTATGTGGAAACATTTTGGATTTTGACTTTGAGAGCGGACATTCCCTCTCGTTTCGAAACAATTGTTTCCCACTTGTTAGCAAATTAACACATTTGAGGTGGCGCTTTTCCTGCATAAGGTGACGCGCCAAATCCGCTGTTTGAGAAAGATTACTTTAAATCGCGAATTACTACACTTCATTACTTGGAAGAAGTACGATTAATCTAGAAAAACTGTTTGCTTGCCACGACGGATTCCTCTCCTAAGTGACTTAAGGCCTGTATAAAAGTAGGTGATGTAAATGTTGCATATTAATTTCCAACCCGTCGTTATTCTTCAGAAAAGTTTTTTCCAAATTTCAGTGATTCGCGCCCCACCCCCTCCCGATATAATGGGGCTCGAAGTCTCATATGACAAGCAACTAACCAATCCCAAAACTTCAGAAACAGTGAAAAGGCATAGATGTAGAAAATTTTAGATGACTATGTATTTTCACCATTAAGACAAATGCACATGGCAATGTCTACCTGAGCTTCGCCTTGAAAATTTGTTCCGATTTTCCGCTTCTTTTGTAATGAAAAACTACGAGATAAAGTAGATGACACACCTTGCTGTTGTTTACGTCTGCCAATGAACCAATTTTTCCTGTTGTGAACGAGATGTGTTCATTGTTCATCAAAATCTCCAGCTCTTGCCGTCCTACTTTGTCCGGTTCTGGCCAATTGGCATCATCTTCCTTGAAAAACAACGCCATTTGATTGGATGAAATCACGTATAGCAAACATGTACACGAAAAATAGTGGTGAACCTGCATAATTTCAGAATCTTCCACAATTCTCTTCAATTCCTGTAGTACTGCAGGGGATATGAACGCCTAGAATGAACAAAATATTTAAA